GAGAGGCTGCTCTCAAAATAAAATCTTCTAGAACATTCCTCTGCAAGTACATGGTAAAAATTATGAAGCATTTCACTTGTCTCAAAAAAACAATCTAATATAGAAAAAGGGTTGGGAATAGCTGTAAATCCTGAATTTCTGTTTCTTAAATCACTGTTTTTCTCCAGTAACAGTCAGAGCAGAGTGCTCTCCAGAGTATTTCATAACAAGAGCCGATGAAGTAGTAGGAAGCTAACAGAAAACCTTCAGGAGATTAAACCAGGTTCCCAGTAAGTATAAACAGACGTTGTGCCATTGCAGTGGGTTGATTCAGTTAATCCCCAGGAAGTTTTTAGCAAAGCTTTTAGTAAACCAAATTTCCTCTTTGAGACAGTTACATGGTCCCTGTTCATATGGCAGGTTCACAACACTGGTATATTCTAATGAGGGCAAAATTAGAAGGAATAGCAACAACACCAGTGCTGAAGAGAAAGAAAAATGTGGATGTACAGAACAGCATAAAAGCTGAGCAAAGACTACATGATACAGAATTATAATATATCACCCGGGCTGGTTGAGGTAGGAATGGACCTATGAAGATGATCTTGTCCAAACACCCTCTGCCCAAGCAGGAACACCTAAAGCCAGCTCCCTAGGGCCTTGTCCAGATGGCTTTTGAGTATCTCCAAGGATAGAGACACCATAACCTCCTCGGGCAACCTGTGCCAGTGCTCAGGTAAGCTGGGTGACCTTCAGCACGCACTGGTGGATGCGGTTGCTCCTCCCCAGGGGCAGGACTTTGCACTTCTCTTATCTGAATGTATAATAGTAGAGGCTTGGGGAGGAACCAAGTTAACAGAAAAGAGCAGGAGCGCCAGGACCAGGGGGTCCTGAGTGATACCTAAGAAGAAAGCTACAGCAATGGTTACCACCAGCTGCAGTGTGAGGCAGGCAGAGAGCAAAACCTGTGAGAAGTGGATTGACAAGCCAATGGAAAATACAGAGGGAGAGAAAGAGGAAACTTTAACATTTTCTGTCCTACTGGCAAAAGGTAATTTTGAAAAGAAGTAAACTCTACAGACGTTTTGCCACTTAGCTTTCTAAAATGAGCAAGTGGAAGAGAACAAATTCAGAAGCCATGACGCTAAATTTCAACATAGTAGAAATCTTCCACAGTCTGGATCTATGAATTTGCTTCATCTTTAGACATAAAGAAACAACTTGGAGATAACAGATGTTATCTGAACTACTCATGCCTGAAAGAGTAGTTCAAAGTCAGAAGCATTTGCTTTTAATATAATCCACAGCACAGTATAGCCAAGATCATGAAAAAGTCTCTGCCTTCTTAGTGGTCACAGTATTGCAGATTCAGGAGTATATTGGGCAGTAAGTTAAAGCATTTCAATGCACTGGCTATCATTTTTTTGTTTAAAAGAGGGGCTTGAGTATAGAATAAAAAAACCCACTTTACAGTTTATACAGTTTTATTTTAATTAAGACTCCCCACTTATATTGCAGTTCTATCCTCAAAATTGTATTTTCTAATTAAAAAATCACACTTTTTTACAAATACAAAAATAATGTATATAAATATGTACACACTGATCTCTGTAACGAACACAGAATTAAAAGCGCAACTGAGAGAAAATAGAACTCTATATTATGAGAGTCTCAAAATGGTACCTAGACTGGTCGCTCCAAAACGGGGAAAAAAAAGCCAAGTTCAAGACCTAAGTTTAAATGATACAAAAAGCAGTGACATTAAGTTTCAGTCTACCTTTAAGGAAACAATTAAAAATAATTAAATTTTGCAACCAAGTATGTCAATAATCATAGACCTGCTTTAAAAACTACTGGACAGGTCTGTGTGACTCTAGTCTACAGACAATGACACTCTATTTTTCTCTGCTGCTTCAAAAATTGCAAGAGGTTAAACTTGCTAATAAAATTTGATCAGAGCATCAGAGTCAAGGCTGAAAGAAAATATGAAGTGACACAGTGGATCGAAGCTACGTGCTAAAATCTGCAGAGTTTGTAACTATTTCAGAAGAAACAAGAAAAAGAAGTTTTTTCTGTTTCAATCAAAATAGGTCATGAGTTTCCTTAAAGAGTGACTTGTATTTTTGCACCAAAGGCCTCTTTTGTCTTCAGAGCCATGGCAGGTCTGGAGCCAGGCTGTGTGCTTGCAAATCTTTCCTCTAACTAGAGGAAAGAAAGAGAAGACGTCGCCAGAATGTGCCTGCTAGCCCCAAACAAAGAATCCAGCACTATCAAAGGACGAGCAATCCTCAGTTCGTGTTGCTTTGTTTCTCTCCGTGCAGGATATAAAAGCATCTTTGACTGTATGTTTTGATAACAGAAATGAGTATCTTGTCATGCTTTAAATCAGCAGCTGAAAGACTTCTTAAGTGAACGTGACAGTATTTGAAATGTCCCATGCTGCCCCATTTAAGACATGCCAATCACAATTAATAGCAACAGATTTGGTATTCCAAAACAAATAAAACCTGCAGAGTTTTTCTGCTGAATGAAGAGATGATGAGAGAAAACAGAAGCAAAATTACCACAATAGCCAGTTAGCCTGTCAATGGAAATTACTTTCATTTGTCTGTATTCACAAGGGTTAGTAAACAATAACACTTCAGCTAATATAGATTTTGTTATATTCAAATTGAATGTGAAATACTGGCTGACATTATAAATGGATCTCTTACTCTTTCGCACTGGATTTCTGAGATATTCTGAGTCTTTATGTTTAAATTGGTCCGTAAGTTTCATATATTTTTATATCAACCCTGTTAAACTTGCGTCATTTTTCCTTAAATAAGGGCTGTGCTTCTGCTTGTTGTTTGAAGGAGTGATAGATTCCCCCCACTCAGTAGGAACCAAGTGAATATTTTATATTATTCTACTGGATTTCAAAGAGTTGTGCTGAAAATCCACTTGGTATGGTGGCAAGATCTCTCTCTGTGTAAATAAGTGCCTCTCACCTTCAAAGTTCTGTGAATTTCTTTTTCCGAAGTCCCACAACAGTTCTGGTGCTCCAGGCTGCCATGTCCCACCAGCAGGTTTTACTAACACTGAGCTGCACCTTATGACCCTCTTATCATGGGGAATGGATGCAGATCTCCTTGAGTAAATTCCTTTTCTTTGTTTTTTTCCAGCAAATTCTGCTTTTTTTTGTCATCTAGTCCCACTTCTTTTAATCTAATTTCTTTCTCATCTTCATGCTTAATTCAAGGTTTCCCTCTAAGCCCTCCTCAAGCACTCATTTTTACTGACTGGTTAGAAAAACCTTTTCTTTGTATGCTGAGCATCTATTGAAGGGCTTCCTTTTGGGCTACTACTCTGAACTTAGGAAACTTTGGGATACCGGGCAACTCAGGCTTACTTGGATAGGCACAAGGCAAACAATTCAGATAATAATTCATGAGATTGAAGTGTGTAATTAAACTAGCTTTGTGTCCTTTAAACCTTCTCTGGGCACTCTTCTGTAAAGCTTTTGAGGACTAGTGATGTTGGGAAGAGAGCAGGGAAGCTAAAGCTAATGCCAAGCAATAAACCTATGTAAAATTACTTGCATTCATGCAATAAAGAAACTAATTTACAAATTTTAACCTAACAGGCAGACAGTTATAATGAGTCTAGTTCTGTAATGGACCAACTGCTCTCTCACAGTTCGATTCCCTAAACAGTTACATTGGGAGTATTTTGGACAGGAAGAAAACTTATAAACCCACCCACATACATTCAAAAAACTTTTCTAGCTCTCAGCTGGCTCTGAAGTCTTTGGTTTACTTAAAAAAAATAAATATCCACAACAAACATGAAGCAATCCCTTCAGTTTTCCTCAGCTGGCCATCACTGCTCAATGCAAACAATTTTAAAAGTAATTTCTCTAGGTAGATGTATCTAAAAATCACATTTCTTGTGGAAATACTCAACTTCAGCTTTTCTTCTGTATTTTAGATGGTGGTGTTAATTTAGCTTATTTTCCCTTCTAGGAGTTTCATACTTGATTTTCATGCATGTCTTTAGCTTTTATGGATGTCATTTGATTGTTTCTAACAGGGAATAGAGTAATTTCTAAATTACATGTTCTTAGTGTTACATAAATATGATGCTTTTAGCTACGGTGTTCCTTCCAAATACATGTTAAATTTGCAAAAACTACCTGGGAGTTTTCAGGCTGCAGTGGCCGTGGCTCTTTGTAGAGCAGATGCTCCGTGCAATTGCAAGTAGGTGTACCTGCAGTGGCAGTAGTGACTGATGAACAATCACATGGATATGCCAGAAGATATTTGTTCTGTTTTGTTGTCAAGTGTTACTATCTAAATCTTCTTTGTTCTCATATGAAGCTGTGCTTTCTTATTCCACTTTGCATTAAAACACAGATTTGTAGACCAGAATTTTAAGTAGTGTATACCAAGCCAAGATCTGTAGTCCCTGATGTCTTTAGGATGCATAGTTAAAGCTCTGCCAGAAGAGGTAGATTGTGAAGGACTTGGGAATATAAACAGAGTATTGGACTGAGAAAGCATCCAGGAAGGCCAGAGAAGGTTGAGTCCACATATTACACAGGAAAATTGAGATAAATCAGAAGAGGCAGGAAAGAATATCAGATTCAATAAGACCATTTCGCACTGGTGACTAGTCTAAACTTCGTTCAAAAGCCAAATCCCAACATTTTCTGTCTGACCGCATAAGAACCTAGTGCTTACATTAACTATGAATAATTCTCCAGCAGATGATGAGAAATACTTTCCCCCACTACAGACAAAAATCATCTTTCTCTAATTAGACAACTACAAATCAAAACAAGCTAACATGTAGTGGTCCAAACTTCTCACAGTTCCCACATGGGCAGCCAAATGTGTGAGAAACCTTACAGCACAAGGCTTTCCAATGCTCCCTGTCCCTCGTGGGCCGTGGAAGGAAGGCAGGGAAGAGGAAGGTCTCTATAGCAACAGGGAGGATATACAGGTTTTCTCTTGGAGACAGACTGTCCCTCTGTCTCTTACCTTGTTGCACAAAGGATCCGTACACAAACCACATGGAGTTGTAGAGGGTTGTGGAGGTCATGGATCCCATCTGAAGGCGTGGTGGGTTGAGCCAGTTCAAGAGGTAGACCAGTAGCCCTACTAACAGCACGGTGCCAGCTATGCATGCCCACAGGGAGAGGTCAAACGGTGCCAAGCAGGCAAACATGTCCACTGTCTTCTCTGCCTTTCGAAGCAGCACACCCACTGAGTAGTCCATGTATCGTGTTGTGAAGTCGACCACATTTTCCCTGTCAGGGGTGATGGTTAGGGCAGAGATCCCTATATCAGCTCTCTGAGGAAAGGGAGAGAGAAAAACATGCATAAGTAGGAGCTACAGAAAAGATCTTTGTTTCTCTGTGATTTATAGCAGCTAAACTTAACTTATGGAGAAGCAGATGCCAAGGCCAATGTCTTAAGCATCATATATGTGAACACAGAAAAGTGACTAAGGCTTGAACAGAATAGCTGTTCTACATGTCTTAGTTTCTGTAAGCAAACCTCACTTGGTGGTCTCGGTCACATTAGCTCTGCATGTTGCTATTTTCCAAGGAATCAAAATGCTTCAAATACAGACAGCAGCTGGAGAAAATCTACTTCTGGTCATTCCTCTCAGCCTGGGTTATGGAAGACATCATTGTCAAAATCATTATGGAAGACATCATTGTGGCAAAAGGCAGACCCTGTGTCTAGCATTTCCAATCAGAGGAAGTTAGTTGCCTGACAGAGCCACAAGATATTCAGCCTTTTCATGCACGATGATTACAGCAAAAGGCTGTAAGGCTGTATCTACTGCAGGATAGAGGGCATCTCACATATCCTGGGATTTTAAGGGTGCTTGAAATTCTGAAAAACATAAGTTTTGGCTGCAGAGTCTGAAGTGCAGAAGAGCAGATATTCCATGCAGTTCCTTTACTATTTATTCCTCTATGTCCTCCTGTTATGCAATTTCTCTTTACGCCAAACTGTCCCGCAGCTACCTTGGACTTACTTTGTACCATTTACATTTTTTGTAATTTAAAGAACTTATTTCAGATGAGAAGAGGATGAATAACATTCCTTGATCTAATAATTGTATTTTACAGCATGTCTGGGTATTAGGTCTCCAGAGACACCAGGCACAACTACAGCAGGTGCTATTTTACTTTTAACATGTACAGTTAGAACTGTAGTGAAAACAAGAAACGGTGTTTGAAGCAGACACATTAACACCATTTAAAAAAGCCCAAATACCGACAAAAAGATGATAAATTATAGATATTTTAATATGAAAAAGAGTACTTAAAATACTTTAATCTGCTACTAGTTTGATTTAATCCATTTCTGATCTGCCTAAAGCAGTGTGTGGTCCTTTGGAAGGGGGTGAGGAGAGCACAAAGACTTGAAAGTCTCAGTACTGTGTCAAATTTTATTAACTCTCTTGAATTTCTTTCTTCTTGCCCAAAGGCAGCAGAGATTACTAGCTCCTTAGAAATGTGATGTGAAATATTAGGTAGGAAGGTATGGCAGCTGAGCCTGATTGGAATCAAATATGGAAATCATCTGGGCTCTTAATATAATCTGCAAAACACTCTGCAGCCCATGGTACAAACCTACTTTTAATCACAGTGCACTTAAGACTTAAATGCACTTAAGTTTAAATGATGTTGCTTTAGCTTTATATTAATTGGAAACTGGCTGCAACTGGAAAGTGGCAGAAGACAGCTGGAAGCTGATTATTTGGACAAAAAAAGTGAAAATATTGATTTGCTTAGAAGACATGAATTAGAGCTTCAGCTTTAATTTGTGGGTCAGATTCTCCGGTGTCTTAAGTGAAGCTGTGCTGGTGGGCACAGCTGAAAGCATGGCTTCATGAATTTACTTCATATCCTTTCCTAACAATGTTTCGTGAATGATGATTTAACCACCCTTTGCCCATGAGCAGCCACAAACTCCGTCACTAAAAATCCAAGTAAAAATTTCATCAGAATTATCTATGGAAACATTCAAGTCATCTGAGTCTCTATCCTTGGATTATAAAACCTCTGGTCAACAAGTGATTCAGGTGATTCATAGTATCTGCTAATGGTTAAGCAGTCAGTCATAATTTGAACTGTTTTCTACCACTATGAATATAAAAGTATTTTAAAAATAATTTACAAATGTAAAAGTCCAATGGTCTATACCAATAGTTGCCAAAAAGGAAATTATGGTTGTATTTAATAAATAGGGTTGTGGGGATTTATATGGTTGGTTGGTTTTTGTTTTTCCTGAATGAATATTAAAAAGTGAAACAGGAATCCAGGGTTCAAGGAGGACACATGGAAAATAAATGTCCCAGTCTTAGCCCCTTCTGTTTAACTTTGGCTGTGTTATTAATTATCAGCATGTTACTAGAATACTTCCCTACTACGCTACATTATTGTGAGGTGCTAATTCAAGTTGTATTTGTAAGATGTTTCAAGATTCTTCACTGAAAAGCAAGATATGAAAATAAAGTTATTTTTACCAAATAATAGATTACTATAGGCCTGAATAACTAATAGATTTTTTTCTGCTTTTTCCCCCCTTTTTTAAAATGGAGGTTCTCCTTCCCCTCTACTCTGCCCTGGTGAGACTGCATTTGGAATATTGTGTCCAGTTCTGGGCCCCTCAGTTCAAGAAGGACAGGGAATTGCTTTAAAGAGTCCAGCGCAGAGCCACAAAGATGATGGAGGGAGTGGAGCATCTCCCTTATGAGGAGCAGCTGAGGGAGCTGGGTCTCTTTAGCTTGGAGAAGTGGAGACTGAGGGGTGACCTCATTCATGTTTATAAATTTGTAAAGGGCGAATGTCAGGAGGAAGGAGCCAGGCTCTTCCCAGTGACAGTCAATGACAGGGCAGGGGAAATGGGTGCAAACTGGAGCATAGGAGGCTCAATCTGAATATGAGGAGAAACGTTTTTACTGTGAGGGTGACAGAGCACTGAACAGGCTGCCCAGAGAGGTTGTGGAGTCTCCTTCTCTGGAGACATTCAAAACCCGCCTGGACGTGTTCCTGTGCGACCTGGTCTAGGTGATCCTGCCCTGGCAGGGGGGTTGGACTGGGTGATCTTTCAAGGTCCCTTCCAACTCCTAACATTCCGTGATTCTGTGATTCTTCATGAAATACACTGAAGGGCATTGCATGAAAAAGCACAGTATGTGGTATTTGTGAAAATATTGCTTTTATTAAGCAACTTTGGGGAGCAGTCTCTCCAAATTTCCCAGCATTATGGTTGCACTCTGGTTATCAGCCAGTTATGACAGAATAACAATGTTGTCCTGATGGAAGTGTTGCACTTCCCTTGTCATACTCCAGCAGCAATCGGGACATAATTACGTCTTGAGATAAGAGAGAGTGCTACTAGAGTAAAAAATAGAAAGGAGAGAGACAAGTCCTGACCTCTCAGCACTCCTGTGTTTTGCTTTTTTTTTTAAAAAAAGTTTACATGGAAATATGGCAACTCATGTTTTTAACTTACTAAATTGAATCATAAACACCAATTTACCAGAAAACTATGTGCAGCACAAAGCCATGCTTAGGCTTAACTTAATAGTTGATCTACTGATGGTGAACATTCTTAATTACATATAGATTCTGTCAACTTGCATCAAAACCGAAAGATGAAAAAAATTAAATGCTTGTCATTAACATGTCAAATTGGATCAGAGAAGATGTAAGTTTGAAGAAGTCAAGGTTTATTGAGTGCTTCAGAGATAGAAAGGCAAATGCATTCAATTATGTCAATATTTAGATGTGAAACTGCCAATCTGAACTATAAACATGTAAAATTCTCCACTAATTTTTCGCAGTGCCAAAATCAACCATCTACCAGCATCTTAGATGTCTGTTTAACACATTTCTGATGAATGAAATTGTCACTCCTGAAACCGACTGACGGAAAACAACAGCAGAGGGCATTATTTTTCTTTATGTGACCTGCTTAGGATTCCATATTCCTTAACAGCAGTTCTCCTGAGCTCACTGTAGAGCAACATCACCAGAAACAGAAAATCCAACATAAATGACTCAATGGGTCTGACAGCTTTGTTACTGGTGGCACAGAACCAGCTCATCGGCAAAGCTTAGAAATCCCTGAAATGTCCCTGTGCTATTGCTTAATCAAGTACATCTCATACACATAGAAAGCAAACTGATGATGATTCCTGTGGTTCATGATTGAGAACGTGGAAAATAAATGAAACAACTTTAAACTGCTCCCATGAGGCCTCTCAATGAATGCTGGAAGCAATAAACCACAGTTCCCCATGTTATGCAGTTATTAATATGACACGCAAAAATTAATCACAGACATTTTTGCTCAAGTTAACACACATACATCCAAATACTTCTTCTTTTACTCAGCTATTATCTTTTTCTTATCACTTTGTCCTCCCCATATGCTTTCGTCATTCTTCTGCTACTCCCCTTAGGAAGATGCCTTAAAAAAAGAGCCTTATAAAAGGCTTCTACTTGGCTTGCGGTTTCTCTTAGAAATGTTTAAGCAAATATTTAGTTTTCATCTTCTGACGGACCTAAGTGCAATAAGGCAGCTTCCCTAGGCTATTTTCTTCCTGATGGCTCCTCATTGGAAAAAACAATAAATCCTAGTAATCCAAGTAGAATGGTAAAATGTGGGAAATAATGGTCGATGGATGTGACTATTACTGGGAAGCCCAGATCTGTACTGGAAAGCTGACTGTCCTCTTCCAGAAGTGGCATTAGCCTCTTCTCTTGCCTGTCACACAGGCTCATCCCTCTGGTAACATGGACTCAAGGGCAATTAAAGGAAGAGCTGTGAAAAGACACAGATAACTAACAGCAAGAGAAAGATTTGCTGAAAAGTGCTGCTCCCCTGTGATGGTTTTAGCCTCTCCACAGAAAGCTGCTGCTCTCTGAACTTATCCTGTCTGTCAGCTGAAGCTCTGTAGGCCTCACTGAAAACCCTGGCCATTTGACAGGAGAGTGGCAAGAGCACCATGTGCCTCTCTCAAAGAACATTTATCCTCTGTAGACCTTCTGATTTGGGCGCTCAGCAAACAGAAAGCTTTCCATAGCCTGGTTACATCCAATTGATTTTGACAGGAGAAGGCTTATGGAGCAAGGGTGTACCTACTACAGGTCTTGACAATCAAAGGAGGGGCGGCTTGAATCAGTTTCCAAATTAAAATTAAAGACCAGATGCTTTGATCTGCTGATTCCTGCTATTTTAGCAGCCAGCAGGGACCTATGTGAACTTGGCATAATCTCATGTCCATGAGGGCAGCTGTGGACTGAGGACAGGGACTTGGCACCACAGAGCTTCTGCTCCTGCTCGTAGCAGGACCTGCATCAGAGCCTGCTGCACACAGAGTCAGGTTAATGCAACAGCATTAAATAGCTGATCCTGAACACAGAAATTATGTGCTTGCTACAGCCACTGCCATTTCACATGGCACATCTTCTGTAGTGGCCAAAGACATCCTTCTCAATGAGATGTACTCAAAAAGAGAAGGCAGCTGTTTTACACTACCCTTGTGTGGGACTTGTCTTTTTCAGAAATACATTGTTCCCAACTCATTTCTGGCTCACGCACTAACAGGCAAAGAGCACCCCCTCTGTTTCTGGATTTCTTCCACATGTTGGCCAGACTATAATGTAAGACTTGACTGGGAAAACATGGAAACATTCTGTTTTAAACAGGTTAGACCTTTAATTTAAAACTATTCTCTGCTCCTTTGCTTCCCCTTACAAAGTTGCCAAGTTGATAGATATTTGAGTTCTGGGAGCAGAACTCAGTTCACAGTAAATAAGAAAGCAGCTTTTCAAGAACAGCTTGCGCTTGGTAAGGGGTAGATAGACACTGGCTGCCTGCCCAGAGGTTCTCTTTTGCCTTAAGAGGGACGGAGAATGGGAGAGAAGGACACAGTGAACCTTTATGGTTAATTATATAAGAGGTAGGGAAGATAAAAAATTATACAGTGCCATAGTATTGGGAAAACATGTTTTTTGAATTCTAAATGCACTTCCATTAACTCTTCATACTTACTAACTGTACAGAAATATTTCATATCCATTAAGACTCATTTACAGCAAAATTGTAAATCTGTTCCACTCTTGACATCTATTTACAGTTCTGGGTGGTTACTATCTTAAGCAGTTATTAGAGCTATATGAGTCCCTGCCTACTAAGCGGACAAGGATGCCACACATATTTTTCAGTGAACCATTTGATTTCAGTTGTTATGAGTTCTGCCTTATGAATCATTCATTTCAAATACATAAAAAATGTTCCACGTCCACTTCCATCTCCAGAACCATCTAGGACTGAGACCCCTCCAGATGTTGTTATACAGTGGCCTGCTGAGTCCTTTGCCGAGTAGAGAGTGGAGTATAGTTAGAACATCAGATTTAAGAAGCAGAAGAAATTAGAAAAATAAATCAATAGGCCATTATCATGTTATGTCTCATAGACAGATGAGTGACTTTTAGTTGTTAAAGTTTAGAAGATGGAGGAAAATATACTTATCTAAGTGGCTCCAGCTTACCATCTATGATCACAGCATTTCATCTTCCATCTTTGTAAGGGCACAGGGAGATGGCAAAGAAAGCTTATAACTACAGTGTAGATGTATGAACTATGCCACAGGTACGACATGTGTGGTTGATTTCCATTCCAACTGGCTCAGGAAGGCAGAATAGGTCAAACCTATCACTTTTTTTTCCCCGATGAGAAATTGTTTTTTGATTGTTTGCTTTTGTTTTGTGTGTGTGTGGGGGAGGGTTGGTGGTTTTTTTGTTTTGTTTTGTTTTTTCCCCTTTCCCCTCCCTTTACTTATTTTCCAGCATTTTGCTAAATTTTAGCTGAAATATTTAATGACTGAGTCCTGTATCTGACCACATTGCTCCCTATTATTTGCCTTGATTATCAATTAAATTCCACCTGCAGATTTGGAAAAGCACTTCCATAAACAACCAGTAAGTTATTTACAGGAATATCTACTGCAGTTATTCAAGGAAAAACAACAAATGTAGGTCTCTACAGCTGTAAAAGCTGCCTCTACAGGTTAACTAAGAGCAAATGAAATGTATATGTTCAGAGCATGAATGAGACATCAGCAGAATAGAGTCTGCATAGCCCTGTCTTTCCCAATGGTAGAAACTGCAAATAGACAAGATGTGAAGAGTGGAAAAAAAAGAAAAATATGGCACATCTACTTGGTTTAATTTATTTATGATACAATATTGAATATTTAATGTAAAATTAAGTAGACTAAATGGTTTATTAATTAAAGAATAGAGAATATACTACTCTTGATTCATACATCTACATAATGTAAGTGTTATTATATGTCAATAAAACATTTTCTGTTGATTATATACTTCATGTATTCATCAACATTTTTCTAAGTGCTATACATTATTTATGTAATGTATCGCTAATTACTGCAACACCAATTTTTCCTCTTTCAAACAGCCTCTTCAACTCGTTTGTGTCAGGTCTTGCCAAATTAATTAGGAAGCTGTGCATCCCATTATTTGACTGTATTCAGATTTGATACTGCTGTACTTTGGTTGGAAAAAAAGAGATTGTCCTGTTTCTTAACCAGTTACCAGCAAGCACTCTCTTTAGATTTTTCTTTACCTGCCAATGCAGCTGTGCACACTATCAAATGCTGGTGACACAGGCAATGAACAAAGTGCTATCACGGACTCATTAAAAGAGGTTACTGGCTAATGCAAAAAATATTATTTCACATATTATTTAGCTTCATCACATGACCTTAAGTAAGTGATCAATAACCTTACCTTAAATACCAGTTCTCCTATCAGTCCATTCCATGACCCATCATCCTGAGGACTCCCATACTTGTGATCCGGTGCAACATAAATTTCATATTTAAAGCCGAGGTAAGTGGCCAAGGCTTCCAACACATCTATTGAGAAGCCCTGATACTTCTTCGGTTTTCCCAGAACATTTTCAGACACCATGACAAAGGGCTCTTCCTAAATAGAAAGCAAAGGAAGCAACCGTTAGTCAAGCAATTACATGCCACGTTTAGGTGTTTTTCTAAAAAAAAGTAAAGGAGGAACTACTTAAATACTGTTCATACTAAACTTTCCTACAACACACTGTTAGCAGTGCCTCCTGCATTCTGTGAAATGCTATTTTGTTATGTATTTACTTCAGCAGAGACATTTCTTTCTCTATCATGTATTTCAGAAGTAAATCTTCTATTCTAACATTACAGCTGAAATGATTTTCAGTAATGCCTTCTGTCCGCACTTATGCTTGGCAGGGCAGACACGCACTCATATGTCTGCCCATAAATACAGAGAATTCTACAGTGCTGCCAGTTTCCACTGTCTGGGAAAACACTGTATCTGACAAACACAACTGCTAATTCTTGCTGTAAGGAATACAAAACATGACAAAATAGGCCATACTGAAGAAAAATGCATTTCTCCTGTCCTTATCTGAATCTTGTAATCTGAATCTGAATATAAGCTGCTATCCAAACAGCATCCATTTAATTAGTTTAGGGAGATTCAATTATGGGACTTCAGTTTGTCTATAAGAATGATTGGTAAATATTCATCAAAAAGATGACCATTATAAAGGATACAAGTTGATACTGAAAGTTGGAATTGGTTGGCAAAGTTTCCAAAACAATATACTTTACTTTTCCTTTTCTCCAAGATCTGTAATTGTTTTCTCCATTTTTGTTATTAATACTTCTAATAATGTTCTGAGAAAGACTTTATTTTTTTTGCTAACTTTAATTTCTTTTTATCCCTTGCTATTATTCTTTCTGTTAAGTTTTTAATTTCTAGACATTCTTCTTCACTTCTTTTTAAAATTAAACACAAAAAAGATCATATTTCTGAATATAAATAAAAATATATTTGCCATAGATAGGTCTCACTTATCTTTGATCTTTATTTTCTCTGAGAACATCTGTCTGATCTACCCAAGTAATGAAATATATCAAATTCCCACAAAAAATGTGAGAGTACTGTAACACTTAAGGGTTTTTTTGGAAGTAAGCAACATTTTCTTCCTTTTAATGCTTTACAAAGTGATGTAATTTAGTATAAGTTTATCAGAAACATCTGTTCTGTGGTGCAAAAATTCACTTTTGGCTTGTCATGGCTTGACCATGACACACATGAAATCTCTTCTTGATCATTTCCTCCTATTCTGCCTAACCCACAAGCATTGAGAAGAAAATGTAATTGATTTTCAGTAGTTTTTATGGCTCAAACTTTAATTGTATCTCCAGAGGCAGTTTTGTTGGTGTTTAAATGATTTTTTTCCTTTACTATTCTACTACTCATCAATGACACTTAAACCACTTTTCACAAATTTTTCACTAATCACTGAATATTTTTAGTTTCTTAGTACGTCACCCTATATGAACTGCAGGATGTTTTCGGAATAAGACAGCACTGTATTTAAATAGGGTAGTCACATGCTGAGGTTGATGCCAAAGAAGCAATGATGCAACCAGACTGCATTGGCATGATGTTCCTCTCTGACTGTAGGAAATCCAGAAAAAAACCCCAAACAAAACACCAACCACCCCCCACCCCAAACCAAACTCCAATCAAACAAAATAGCCAGCAGAAAAAAAATCCAAACCAACCAAACAAAACAAACAGCAGAAGGGTTGACTGTCTTAAGTTATTATTTCATGGTTGTCAGATAGAATTTCCTTCTTCCAAATTACCCAAGATCAGCCAAATGGAATAAAATTTTTAAAGTAGTTTTCCAGTGCCTGAGTTCCAAGTGCATTAAAGGAATTGAGACTAAGTTGATGAAAGCCTCTCCTAAATGAAAAATAACCAGAGTGAATTCAGCTTTGCTGATCACTTAGATGAGAGATTCCCTATGGACAGACTCAAAACTACTGGCAAAAAATTTCCACAAAAGAATAAATATTATTATTTATCAATCTAAGTACATTATGCACAAAATTCTAAAGATTTGTGTGCACGAAGGGTGTTTTAGAAGTTCATAATTTCCATCTTAGAAAGGATTTATTCTTGTAACTTCTAAGTTATTAGAAAATAATGGCTCATAAACTGAAATAAACTAAACTAAAAGCAATTGCTAATTGCATTGATTTAAACTAGTTTAAAATGCAGTTTATCACAACTAATTTCAGTCTTTTATTAAGGTATGTAATACTTTGAGTATTGAGAGATTTAAGAAAAACAAAACAAACAACTCGTCCAGTGTGCTGCTGTGCATTTAATGAAACACAAATAGTCAAATAGCTTTATGTAAAGCAACCAACACCTCCCAATTTCTGTTGAAGCCTGGAGCAGTAAAATTTTTAATCATATTCTGAACAGTACAAAATAAATCTATTGCTATGTTTGGGGTTTTTTGGGCTTTTTTGTGGGTTGTTTGTGTTTTTTTTAATTGTTTATATTTCTCAGATGGCATTGAAAGAAGACAAAAATATTTGTGTTGATTTTTTTTCCCCCATAGCAAGCTGAAACTCTTCTACTTGTCTTTTTGTACACTGTTATGGGAGCTCCTATGGAAAGAGATGTACATCCATACAATATTGACACTAAAATTATTGTCTCCATCCTTGAGAGAGCAGATCTTGTAGAAAGAAAATAGACAAAATAAAAGCAACCAATACATTTCTCACCCACTGAACAGAAAAATAATGAGAACAAAAAATAAGCTTGTAGAAAGTAAGTATCAAAAACTCACTAGGTAACTGATGAGTTTAGAGGTGGCAAAATGCAGCTGGATGATGAAGCTTCCATGTGATCCCAATAAATGCAAGAAAATCCTGATACATTTTCTCTCCAAAGCAGGTGGTAATTTAGACTATATAAGCAGGTCTTTCTCAGAGAAGCCACACAATCACCATCCTTGGAGATCCTCAGAACTCATCTGGACACAGTCCTGAAGAGCCTGCTCTAAGTGCTTAGTAGTAACAACTACTAAGCCTGTGATAGGGGCTCCTTCTCAAAATAGCTCCACAGTTATCACTGTCTTGTTTCTTCTTGGGATCAAAGCTGTGCTATCCTGATACACAGGAGGATGAGTTTAAGACTCGATGTGGATCAAAGGATTTTACACACTGTTGTGGGTTAACCCTGGTAGACAGCTAAGCATCACACAGCCAAAGCTACCTGCAGCAAAATGAAAGTCAGCAGCAAACAGGTAAAGTTTATACTGGGTGAAGCTGTGCATATTGCTTTTTGCAACTGTAAGAAGGCAAAGTCTGGTGCCAGATATGATCACTCCCTGAGCAAGAAAAGCTGCAAAATGCTAGCAGATGAGCACATCTTAGGAAGGCTAAAGGCAGATCCAAGGTTAAGGCAACATGGCATAAAAAAAAGGAAAGAGTTGGAAAAGATGACATGACAGTACAAGTACATTGGAGAAGCAGCTCACTAAAACACTTGGCTCTATTTATCTATTATCACTAGGTTTATAAAACTTTTTAAGGAAGAAGCTACCTATTAAGACAGACATAATTTAACATCCTCCTCCCATCAGTGCAACTAGATGTCTTCTCATGTAATAGCTCTGGTGGTGCTTGATTCCGTTAATAAAGTGTCAATCATCACAAATCTACTCAATTTTTATCAGGTGATTTGATCTGATGGCCAGGGATCCAGGGCCAGGACAAGCGATGGAGAAGGAGTAAGACTGTACAAGCAGAAGTGAGGGAAGTACCTAGAATGTGACCTCTTTGACATCAGGGGATGGTTAAGCAGCTCCAACATCTTACCCAAACCTATTTTCAGATGTTCCACACAATATTATTTGTACACTTTTCACAAATTAGGGTTTATCACTGAAATACTTGGTAGAGTAAGAAGTGTAATCATCACCGTTTTCCACATGCAGAACTGAAATGCACAGGTTTCATGACTTGTACAGCTGAGAAATGAATCCAAGTGTGCTGGGTCAAGGACAAATGCCTGTTTTCCTTCTATCTTGTTTTAATGCTTTAAAACATTTGTACTTACATATGTATCTGTCTTCAGATGAAACATGAGCATAATGTCAGGAAAACCAATAGTGGAAAGCAAGCATTAGATGAGGAGAAAAGAAGGTGAGATCCAAAAATGAGATGTCTAGAGCCAGGGAGAGAAAAGTCTTACTCTTGGAAGAACTACTTGCCAGGGTAAAACTGCGAGTGGACAACAGAGATTGTAACAAGCCCTACTCCAGCGAGAACTGATAGCAGGGTAACATAAGCAAAAAAGGAATGTCACACATCCAAAATGCAGCTTTCAACCTCTTCTCCAAATTTTACACAGTGGGATAGAGAATTTATTTTCTTTTATTTTAAACATAGTGGAAATCAGAGGTTGATAGTATAGAGCCTGCAGTAGTCTAGATTCAAGATTAGTAGAAAGCAGTTTTCCAACAAGAACTCGCTTTTTCCAACAAGATAAAGGGCTAACAGCTTTGCCTATTCAGGACTTAGGTTCTGGAGCACGTAAAAATGAAGACAAGATTTGGAAGTGCTTCAAGAGAGTAAGATTAGAAGTGCAAAATACAGTTCTTATTTACTCTGAAGAAATTCTCACTATTTGTAATAGTTGGTCTTTTTATATTCTTTTCTAGAACACCTAATAAAGTTAAACAAAAAAGAAGAGAAAAGCTTTTGGGCAAGGAAGACCTTCAAGTTGGAAAACAGAAGGAGAATTAGTCAAGTTAAATAACAGAAAAGAACAATTAATCTGAGTTTAACTTGGTCATGTTAATTAATTAGGCAATCAAAGAGAAACATGAGTTTGTAACCATGCTACTGCGGTGGGTGATTGTATTGGGTTTTTCTGTGAGGGGTTTTTGGTTGTGTCTTTGGTGGCGGGGGAAGGGCTATGGAGATGGTCCTTTAAGAATTAGCTACCTGAAAAGCTCCCCCTTTGCCTTTATCAGACCCACCTCTGATCAGGGCCAAGCCACTCAAGCACCCCTGCAAATTCATGTATTTAAGGGAGGTGCAGGGCATGCCTCGCTC